TGTTATTATTATTATTATTATTATTATTATTATTATTATTATTATTATTATTATTATTAAAGGAGTCTGTTCGCAAGATAGGACTATATCGGTGAGCAAGGCCGAAGAGGGGGAACTGGAAAAGAAAGCCGCGTATAGAGGATATAACCCCTCCCCCTTCTTCCTTTATCCCCTGCCTTTCTCCTCCCCCATCAGTTCAGTCTTCCGGCCCTCTTGGCCTCCTTTCTTTGCGGAAATGACTACCATTCTGTAGACTCGAGATACGAAGCATGTTCTTTGCAGAAATGACTACCATTTAGAGAGAGTTAATAGTATTCCTGGGGTTTTTTAAACCTCTGTGCACGCGCGCGAGATGAGAGGTTAAATAACAGGAGCGGATCAAAGGCGTGGTGAGGGTGACAGCCTCCGACTTAGATTAGTTTTGGCTGATAACCAAAGTAAACTGATCCATATTAGATGTGTTAAAAAAAACTGTAAGGAGAAAGAGAAATATTCTCGGCTCTTGATCAGCCTTGCATCTTTTCAAAGTTTGTTTAATTTAGTTTGCTTTTTGCTAATTCAAGAGGTCCTTGCTTGTTCAACACAAAGCAGTTCAGTAAGGGCTTAAATTCTTAACGGACGTGCTAGATGGATAGCACTAACCCGTTTTTGTTTGCTGTAGCATCAGAAAATAACTGGCCTCTATAACCCTCAATAGAAATGCCCGACGGGGAGGAACAGGCACAAGATAGGAGTCTTCCAGCACTAATGGGGACTTTCCTTTTGTTTCTTTGTTTGCAATACCGAGTCTATACCGAAACAATGAGGAAAAAAAATAAATCATTTACAAGAATGGACAAATTTCTTTTTCTATTTAATTCTTGACCTTGAGAGGAAAAGTACTCAAAGCTGAGAGAATACTGAAACTAGTTATAGTAGTCGACAGATTCATCTTCATGCTTGTCGTTCTTCCCCGCGGTGACAGACAAAAACGAGGCGGCATTTTTTAGCTCTTTTTAAAAAGCCTTTACGGGATGACAAATGTGTTCTTATCTCTAAAAAGAATTACGCCATCAAACAGTAAAATAATAAAGGAAAGAAAATAACTATAAAAACACACTGCTCTGAATTGAAATAACAGTGTTGAAAAGCCATAGAAAATTTAATTAATCTAACAGAAAAGACAAGCTGGGAATACAATTAGTGATAGTAAATTGTAAAACAGATTCCAGTCTTGAAACATAACACGGCTTTTGACGACCCATATCTGAGATAAATGAGAGAAGGTGAAGTGACAGTAGTGGATGTTTATAAAGTTAAAGACTGCGCTCGGGATATTTCCGGTATTTTTTCTGCTCGCGTGCAGGGTCACCTGGCTAACATACGACAGGTATTTGCAAAAGAGAGAAAATGCTCCTGTTTCTTCATCTTTTGATGGTTGGCCTTCAAGTTTTTATTCCTCAGGTGTCCTGTGATTTTCAGAACGACAAAAGGCTTCTGGAGGAATATAACAGTAAGTTGTTTGTTTCATGTTTTCTTATCAGAGGAATGTTTCTGGATCTTGGCCTAAGGCCTAGATGTGAGCGTCAGATGTTGTTTAGTGGAAAATGTAAACACCAACCATAGACCTGAAATTGAGAGATTCTCCGGATAGAGATCAAAAGAGCAAAACGAAAACATCAGCAGATAATTTAGAATTAACAACACTTATCCTTTGAACTACATGTGAACGGTTGAAAATGCATATATTTCCCATTGAACTGAAAAATCACTCGTAGAATAACTGTTATGTGTCAGATCCACTCGATTACTACGTTATGTACGAAAGCGTGTAAATATAAGTTTTCTATCAGATAAGAGAACATTTGCGAAAGGGGCGACAAAAAGTGGAATAAAGTACCTTTTTTCTCTTTTTTTGTACGTGTATGCGTGCAACGGCTGGTTAGGTATCACTCAGTACAGGGCAGGTTATTTACAAGAAAAGTTCGCTAATGAAATAATTAAACTAACCAGTAATTAATCAACAGAGTTTGTTTCTTTATAATGAGTAGGAAGGCATAAGAACGCTTTTCCTGACCCTACTTCCCAAGGCTAGATTCTCTTTAGGAGTGAGTTTAATTTTGACATTATCAGCTACTTCAGACTACCCCTACTACTTCAAAATTAAAATCAATAAAAAAAGAACTACCTAACACGGTATCAGACTGAAGTTATGGAGTGACATGACGAGACTTCAAGAACGTTCAAAAAATTCGTTATCGCGCTGCATCGATTCAAAGCATCCAGGATTAGTGAATGTTTGTAAAAGTACGACTTATCCAGTTTCTAAGCGCTTTTCACCTTATCTCAGAGCATGGCGCATATTTTATTCGGCTTCCATGCGCTCCAACGCTTTATGTGTTTATTAATTTGCGTTTCTTTTTGTTAATTATTTTGTATTTCAATCTTTATATAACAATAACAAAACACTTTTATCTTCTAAAAGTCCGAAAGGTATAAGCCGACCGCACATGAATGCGAAGGACAATAGAGTATTATCTTGTTTCTTCCAGCTTCGACCTTTCACCCATTTTGAAACAAAAATAAATTTCTTTTCCAGAATCCAGTATTCTCTTGAAGCTACTTGATACCTCTTACCGTGACCCTCAAAAAACGAAATGACAAGCTGTGTCTACTCTTCAAGTCTACTCACGCAAATGTCGTGCTCAATCACGAACTAGGCATAGCGGCCCGGGGGAACTTCTATAAAAAAGGACGGGGGGGTGCTCGTCGTACCTTTTAGGGGTTAAGCGCTATTGGTACTTCTTATTGTGTTCAGCCTCAAAAGGTCCAAAGCGGGAGCTTTCGCAGTACTTTTTGGGGTATTGAACCAAAAAGACATGTCAGGAGATGTTTAACAATCAACTGATGTTCAATTTTGTCTCGTTTATAATCGTCTTTATCGCTGTTAACATTATAAGGGTCAGTTAACGTATTGTTTTAGAATTGCTACCTCTTAGGAGTGAAAAATATTTCAAGCAACGCCCACAAAATAGGACCTTGGTACCTTTTAGAGGTTCATTTCCTAATTTCCGACAAGCACCCCCGTCCTTTTTATATTGGAATCTCCCCACCCTCGGGCATAGTAGTCACAAAATGACTGACATTAAGTCCTGTTGGAACAGGTTTGGGAAACGGATTAAATCAGCTTACATCATTTTCAAATCGCTCTCTTTTTATGAATATGCGATTAACAGAGAGGACTAAGGAACTTCACAATTGCACAACAACTTCGCTTTCACTAACATACGATTCTTGCATGAGCGGAGGTTAACCTCGGTTAACATACTGACAGAAATTAAATAATTACCATTTGCAAGCATAATGTGCTGAAAATATCTTTCTCGACTCGATTTCAGTAAACTCGATATGATGCTATCGACAGAAATCGCGATCTTCTTCTTGCATTTTTTCGTTTTGTTCATCGATCGATTCTGTTTTTTTTTTTCCTTCTGCTCTTAGATTAGTAGGTCCTGATAGCGTGCAAAATTGCAGTTTAACTTATATTATTTCACGGTTTCTCGTTGCCGCCCTAGAGAGACAAAATGTTCCGTTTATTAGAAGAATTAATTGTTCTTCCGTGCAAAACCGAAATAATTTAAGTGTAAATTATCTACGACAAGTTAAATTATGAATTAGACAAACGGTGTCGTTATCAGCCACGGTAATCTCTGAAAATAGTCTTATCACGATGAGCGCAACTGCTACCGTGGTAAGGATTTCCTGATTAAAACGCCAGAACTAATTAAGCTGCTAACTACACTGAATTAAAGGAAAAATTACACCAAATTAGTGAAAATGCTGTTAACAGTTAATCTGAGCACACAAAGACAGTCTTTATCCAGTGTGAAACTGTGCTTACCCTGGCGAAAGACAAGAGTTCTCCTCCAGGAATAATCAAAGAGCTTGAATTAAGACTTTAACGCTCCCAGTTAACGATTTTGGCAAAATATTATTTTGATCATATTTTAGGATTGTAGCTCAGCGTCGTCTAAAACGCGCACTCNTTTTTTTTTTTTTTTTTTTTTTTGCGCGGGAGTTTATGAGTGTTTAAAAGATTGAAGTCGAAATTGCGTGGTTAGACGAAAAGAAAACATGGTTACAAGTTTGCACGTTTCTCGTCAAGCTAGCGTCCCTTAAATTCAATTAGTAAATTAGATCAATTAGATCTCTGAAATTTAGACTGCGACGACAGAAATCATGTTTTATGGAAAAAAAGTTTCGCATCGGATTTCCTCACAAACCATGCCCTCTTTTTTACACCCCTCTGCCCTTGCAGTTTCCGCAGCTTTTCATAATTGGTGACAAAGCTTCAAGCTGTTCCCTTTGTGTCCTTCAGTGAGCTAGAATCGACTTGACTCTTAATAAGTAGAGATCAGGCTCCAATACAACAGCCTTTTTTTCCCTCAATGCTCACCAAACGCGCAACAAAATCGTCTGCGGCAAATGCTCACCCTAATTTCTAAAATAGCACTTTCTTGTTGAAGAGTTTCAGCAAATTCCACCGGCAATGACCACAAGCAACAGACTTCAGATGCACTTCTTCACTCAAACTGACAGCTCTCGCTTGAAAAGACAGCTACGCGGTTATTACGACATCATTTACATCATCGACTCCTCAAGTTCAATCAGCCATGCAGAATTCCGTAAGGGAATCAAGGCCATTCAAATGCTGATTGACAAGGGAGCACCGGAAACTCTGCATGCAGCTATCACAGTAGCCACTCATGCGCAGCCCGCTTTTACTTTCACTTCCGGTGAAAAGGCCAATGAAAAACTGGAGGAGTTGCAAAGAACAGGAGGAAAAACAAACACGCAAGAGGCCTTGGAGAGAAGCTTACAGATGTTTCAAAATCCCGGCACAGGAGCCCGCGTGGGAAGCTATAGGCGTGTTCTTATTGTCACCGATGGTCAATCGAACATAAAACGGGAAAGAACACTATGGAAAGCGATGGATCTGAAACTCAATGGAGCCGAGATCTTTGTGATCGGAATAGGAGAATACGTGGATGGAATTGACGAGTTGGCACAACTTGCTACCACGTTAGATGCACATTTATACCGAGCCGGGGACATGCAAGGACTTGTTGAAATCGTTAAACTCATCACCCCCGTGAGTTACAGACGGGACTGGGCAGCAGAGATCATGAGACTGAGACAGGCATTCATTCTGGGACGATTTTAGGTACAGCTACTAACTCAGTGTATAGCTGGTTCTTGTTTCAATCTCATTCAATCATTTAATTTAGCTGAATGATTGGTTGGGTGGTTGGTTGGGCGCTCGCATTCGTTTGCTTGTTTGATATGGTTGAAGAAGCTATAAATTAAAGTACAGAAAGGTCAAAACTAAGCCAATAAGAGTATTATTGGCTTTTTTGCTGTCGATTGTTAAAAAGTTCAGTGCAACTTGCTTGAAGTTTAACATACCTAGTGGCAGGCAAGTGTTTATCAATTCATTTAGCAGGATCTATGAGCTCGACAGTTCTACTAACTATTAAAACACCTAGATAATGTCTAGGGATCTCGTTAGTAAATGGTGTCTAATTTCGCATTCTAGTAGAGTTAAAACAAAGAAGGGAAAAACAGTGAACACTTCAGCAGTCATTTTATTGGTAGCCCCTATGATTCAAAATTTCTGAAATGTTTATACCACTAGTATAACATTTTTCTGCCAAAGGGGGCATATTAAATGTCAACGTGTAGCTAGCAGCGTTGATTGTAATTTACTAGCAAGCAAGCTCAGAATACGTTACCATGTCAATTTAAACATGAGCGATAAGGGAAAACTTTTACAAGCAGTAGTACTACAGGTTCTACTGTCTTCTGGCTTCTATTCGTTCCAATTCGTGGCTCCTCTTTGAGTGTACTTTGCGCACGATCCTTCCTAGAATTAGTATTTTAATAGTTTGTTCTTTTTTTAACTGAAACCTCAAGTGACTTTCGAAAGTTAATTACTGCACAAAGGGATTGTATCTTTTACCAAGTTTAAATTTTGAAACATTTGCAAAATAGAAGTTACTTTAAGCAGCGTTCCCTGTTTACTTAATTTAATTTACTATTAATTAATTCCATGTTCTACAGAGTATTCACGGAAAAATACACAGTTTTATTCGAGGGCACATAAATTTGTATCACATTCGCATATGACGAATCCATAAGGTTTTCAAAAGACCCGTAGTGTTCATGTAATAACGGTGTAATACTCCTTTTAAATTCTTTGGAGAATTACAGTTTTCCTAAGGGACCTTCCTCCTCTTTGCCCTCTTCCGAGGATTCTCCGAAGGTTTCTTCGATCCACGTCTTTTGTCCAACATTAGGGATAAGCTTAATGACCTCATGCAGTCCTCTCATATTCAGCACTCGGTACATGTGAGCATCGGTGGAACTTGCCATTTGCACCATTTCTTTGATCCCTTCTAAATACTCTCCCACTGCGATCACAAATACTTCAACCCCCATTACCAATTTCAATTGCTCAGCGCTGGGAATAGTCTCAGCCCTCTTTATGTTGGATTGACCGTCTGTAACAAGTAGGATTCTGCGAAAACTTCCCTGACGAGCGCCATACTGCCCCTCAACAAACATCCTTTGACAAAGTTTGAGCGCGGCCTGCGTGTTCGTTTTCCCGCCAGAACGCTTTAGCGCGCGAAATTTTCCAGCCGCGTTGAAGCTCGAAGTGAAGTCAAACTCAATTTTGGCACGGGTCGCGTAGGTTATGGCTGCATAGTTCGTGTCGTTTCGGGATTTCTCGACAAGATTTCGTAAAGCACCCAGTCCTTTTGCAAATTCCCCACTACTGACAGAACTCGAAGAATCGACAACGAGAATTACGTCGAAAAAAGTTCCAAGGATTTGGCGTTTATGGATTATTCTTGTTCCACCACTGAAGAAGTTCTTGTAGAGCTTCTTGGCTGTTTCAATGGCGGGTGGAATTTTTTGAAACTCTGATGATGTAGAGAAAGAACATAATCAGACCTGGAGTTTAATTTTGTAGTTCGATCCTCAAAGTTGAGGATCAACTTGGCATATTGTAAATAAATTAACTCTAAACTGTAAAAGCTATAAAGTTAAGGTTAAAACCGAGGCCTTTGACGAAGAAATGGATCTAAAGCTTTTCAGGGTCTAGTGTCAAAATTAAAAAATGTGTTTAAAAAAAGTGTTCAAATGTTGCGGCTCATGCGCTTAATTACACCTAGCTAGTTCACAAGCATGCCACTTAAACTGAAAGGAACAAATATATCAACCTGGCGGGAGGCAGACCGGTTAGCTATATAAGATATTTCCTCTTGGCGGAAAATGTTCCTAATCATTCCATCGGCATGGCCCCTAATGCGTAAAAACGTTGTTATTACTTCTTAGACTTTCTTGGTGCTAGATATCAATAGAGATCCTATTTCCATCTCATCCAAGACAAAGTTCAAGTAGCTTTCCGGCTTACTTTAACTGTCAGTATTGTTTTCCGCTGTTGGTCATGACCGCACGATATGAAATAAACACAACTAAGAATATTCGTTGACATTCGATCGATTTGTAATGGACCTCCAGCGCGACTGGGTTGCGTTGTGTCTAAATGCACAATAATTCGATTTGTCAGTCTATGGTAAGACAACATTTTAAGAGATACTTTACTAATTGGCAAGTATCACTGATAGTCTACTGATAGAGCACATACATCAGAAAAACAAAACATTTGTCGATTAAGAAAGATGTTCATTTGACCTCACGCTCGATCTGCGTCCTCTAGTGTAGAAAATTCTCTACGATGCCGGATGGGACTTGCAACTGTGTGGAAGATTTAGCTTACTTACTTTCGTAGTAGTTTTCCTCGCCAGTGTCTTTATTTCCAAACGATAAATTGAATCCGCAAGTGACGAAAACAAAGATGGCAAATGTTGTCAAATGCACCATCGTTGAACTGAGATAACTGAAGTATTGTGTTTAACCAGATCATTTGATATGGAGTATATATTCCTTGCTTCCCTTTCAAAAGGATCCTGTGTCAAACATGTCATACGGGTGGCACTCAACGGTTCCATGCCTCGCGCGTTTGCGTGAATAAGTCACGTGACTCACGCAAGCTTGCCGCTGGGCTTCGATGTCACTGTTTTTTCAACCCATTCTCTCGTTCATAATTTACTTGCGTTTCTTTCTTTTCTTACAGTGATGAGTAAAGATATCAATTTGAAGAGAGAGGAACAAGTTTAACAAATATAAGAGAAAAGCAGAATACATTTTTCGTCCCAGATCAGGAGTATACAGTGTTAACTCAGTTACACGCAGTTTGTGATTTGCCAAGTCGTGACGAAGTTTGGGACTTGCCAATGTGATAAAATGTCCAGCAATTCAGTGGCGGGATATTGAATCCCAACTTATCTAATTCTAGAGAGTTATTGTTCCTAGTATCTATTTGTTGCTATTCATACTTTATTAATATTCATTAGCCCTCGTGTATAGTATATAAGCATGCCTTAATTATTCATAGTTGTCAGTTTTGCCTAACTTTGGTTGGAATCGTTTGAAATATGTCCCAGAGTCCGTCCGCAGTGAACGACCCTGCAAGGGCCCAGCAAATTTTACAGCCCCTTCAAGGCTCTTTTGAGCATGCTGCTCCGCCAACCACGTCTTCATCACAGGCGGGTGCAACTTCAGGAACAATAGCGAGCGGTGACAATGCGTCCCAAAGTTCTTCTCAGGAAAACGCCTCTAGGACGAATGTGTCGAACAACTCGACAGTGAACCTTGAGGTATTCATCTACAATGTTTTAGTTTTGTATTCTAGCTGGGGTTTGTTGGTCATTTCATGTTGCCCAATGTTACATTTCCTCGTTTATGTTTTTCTCGTTACTCGGGAGCCGGTTTTTAAACTTCGCGCTTGGAACACATGGTCGGTAATTTATTCCTTTGGGCTCGCCATAATGCAGTTCTTTTAAATATTAGGCGATAATCTGTTGTTTATATTATGTTTTTTTTTTGCTGTTGCACTTGTTTGTTTTCTTTTCTGTGCTTGTTTGTTATGAATTAGGGTTGCTATATATTTGGGCGCTGTTTTTGTTTTGTTTTGGTTGGGGACCGAAGAAATTATTTACGCTGTTTGCACCTTTTTTCTTGCTTGTCCCTTGGGAGGGGCGTGGGACGTGAGGCCTCGGTCAAGGTCCGGTGTAGTCTGACAGTGGTGTTTGGTTTTGTTTGTCTGGCCACATGGTGGCGTGGACCGTTTGACCAGTGTGTCGAGGACTTCTGCTCTGTGTCACGAGGTGGCGTGAAAAAAAAAAATCGGTCGAGGACCGATTAAGCAGTGTGTCGGGGACTTCTGCTTTGTGCCACGAGGTGGCGTAAAAAAAAGAAAAAAAATCGGTCGAGGTCCGATTGAGCAGTGTGTCGCGAAATTTTGCCCTTTACCACGGGGTGGCGTGAAAGGAAAAAAATATATGTCGGTCGAGGTTAAAAACAGCTCTAGTGTGAAGTAAGGACTGGATTTAAGGGCATTATGGAGTTATTTGGCGTTACTTTCCTCTGTTAGGTCTCGGCCACAACCGTCGGTGCACTAAAGAAGGAATTGGATGAGTGGAAGAAAAAAATTGATGCATCGACAATCGAGTCTGCTTTTGTTTTAGCCTAAAACGAAACGTCATAAGGGAGATACCATGACCTTTATGCCCTTAGAAGCGGAGGAAAAAAGCAGGCGTAGGGAAATGCGATGGGTATCCCTGGAGGGTAAACCGAGTTCGGAGAAAATGACATCAGAAGACGCTTGTTTAACCCATGTTCAAGGCATTGTTGCGGGGGAAACTCCTAACCTGCGGGATCTGTCGTTTCGCGATCCGGACTCCTTTCAATCTGGTCAACTTCGCACCCGAATTGGACTCGGAAAAAATTTTGGACGGGTACGAACCTGCAATGGACGTCCTTGAATGGCTGGAGCATGGGATGGATATCAAAAATTCATGAAGCCTTTAAGGGATCATTTATGGGTGTTAAGTATGAGAGCGCGGAAACCCCGACTAGGGTTTTGAGAACCACTACTCTTGCAAACAGGTTTCGCAGTTTGTTACGGAAACGATTTTGCAACTTATTGAGTCAGGAGCGATCCGTGTTTGGGGTAAAGTGGGTGAAGTGGCACCGCCCCACTTCGTCCTTCCCATGACGATCGAACCACAAAAGCCGAGGTTATGCATTGATGCCAGGTTTTTAAACTTGTGGAGGGTCGACACCCCCTTTTCGCTGGGGTCGCGTGTTCCCTGTATATTGATGACCGTTTGAATGGGGAACTGTTGGCTTCGAAGGGTTTTGGTCACGCCCACTGTTGCAGAGGACCCCGGAATACAGCTATCAATCTGCGGAGGCGGCTTTGTACATAGTTTGTTCAGTTCTTGTAACCTTATTTATTTTCTGGGCCTCTTCAAATGCGTTCTTGTTCCTGTAACCAGGATCCGTTATTTAGGTATGATAGTGGATTCTATGGTGCAGGCTTTTTGCATTCCTGAAGATAAGAAGATAAAGTTTGCTCAGCTACGCGAGCAAATACTTCTGCGTGAAACTACTATCACCTTGAAGTCTTAACAGAGGTTAATGGGGAAATGCTGTTTGTGATGGTAACCGCGTTAACGCCTACGTTTTCCCACCATTTTCACTGATTGGCCTCTTTTGCGTTTCCTCGCTTCAGTGAATGCAGTTGTTACGGTAGTAGTACCATTGATGTCCCCCTTACCCGGGTGGTGGCCGTTATTAAATGCTTTGTCCAGCCATAGTGTTT